TCCATGCTGAGAAAAGAGATCTTCTCCTTGGGGCAAAGTTTGCTCTTCTGCCAGAAGCACTAGGTCCCTGTGTTTGCAAACCTGGTCTCGAGAGTGACCTAGGATTAGCCAGTCGTCGAAATAGTTCAAGACGCGAACCCCGTGTAGCTGAAGCGGCACAAGGGCTACCTCGACGATGTTCGTAAAGATGCGAGGAGACAGGGCTAGCCCGAAGGGGAAAACCGCGTACTGATATGTCTTCCCCTCGAAAACAAACTGATGAAATGGTCTCTTGGCTGAATCTTAGCGGACACATCTGACTGACAATATAAAGTGCAAAATGAATTTTTGGTCACTTTCATCTTTTACATTTCCAATGAGTTTCATGTTTTTCTCTTTCTGCCCAGAAACTGCAAAAGGCTAATCCATTAGAGAAATCAAATAAAGTAGCCAGCGCTAATATAAGGTCTTACTACAATAAGGAAAAATAGAAACAGTGTTGTATAGAACATTTTTGCTCAGGAGCACAATAGTATTTTAGCACAGAAAAGGAAATGGTCCTTTTGTCATGGTACATTAATGCTTCGGCTATGTGCAAGCAGTGTTTTTGAAGAGTGAATATGCTCTGAGTTCTAGATTAAATTATTAGTTTTACAGTGAATGAAAGAGGCAAGCCAATGGATGGAAAACAGGCAGAAAATCCTGTGAAGGCTTCAAGACATATGTTCCTTAATGTTTGTTCTCTTCGTTCAGCAGGTGATGACTGTCTCACATGACTGAATTCAGTGGCCTATTTCTCCCAAATGGAATGCTCTGATACAAGGCTCTATATGCCTATAGTGTGAAAACGTGTAATGCATTAATAACCTAAAAAAAAAGTCCCCATAGTGTGCTGGTTAGTGGTTACTGTATTCTGTTCTGCAAGGATTCAAAACAAATTTGTTATTTTAAGATATATTCTTTTAATTTCCATCCACTAATCGCTAAAATGTATCTAATCAAGGGAATAATAAAGCAATAGGGTAGTTACTCATTTGATTCATGAAGAATCTGCATGTTGTAAAACTAACTATATAAGTATGCAGTAGTATACACTTTTAATTTATAATATTTTAAACACTCTCATTATTTCCATTGCTTGTTAAGTGTATAGTAAAGTGGTTAGATACAACATTATATTTCCTAGTACTGATAAAAGAGAAGTCACATTGCTTATCATTAAACAAATATGCAGCATCTTGCACTTTTCGTTATGCTAATCTGGATTGCCCTTGTACATTTTAGACCCTCACTTCCATTCACAAGCTAGCTAGCTAGCTATGCCTTCAACACAGAAATGCATTGGCTACTACCTGGATGCAATCATGTACAAAACAGATCGGTATCTTTATTTAAATACCCTAAAAACCAGAGAGCCAACCTTGATGAAGAACTGAGGATCGCCGCCAACACCCGCCTCTATAGTGATCATTTTACATGGGATCGTTTTATAAACTTTCCTCAGAGACAACTGGGATTCACTGATAATCCGCTGTTACTGGTGAATGGTGCCGAAATGACTATCTCCCGCCTCAGCGATCATTCTCCCGTCCTGAAACCAGTATCAGTTAATATCACTGTCGACAGCTTTCCCGCGAGTGGGCGTGGTTTCCACGCAGTTAGTGGACACGCCCCCAGTGTTTGAGAACAGAGATAACTGCTCATTTTTTCATGATTTTGATAGCTTATTTTATGTACATGCCGGCTTTTTTATCATTCAAATTTGGCTGGGTGGCTAATAACACATTTTTCTGTGGTTTGACAAACTCAAAACACACACTTAGTTTTGACTTTACAGGGACCCCAGATAGCAAACTGACATTGAATCAACGTGGAAATATGACATCGAAACAACGTTGATCTAACATTGTTTTGCTCATCGAATTAACGTTGAACCAACGTCAGACGCGTCATTCTTTCAAAACTAACGGAAAATCAACTTGAAATCAACGCGTTGTTTCACCGTTATGAAAGCAAACCAATTTTCGATTTTCATTTAGCTTTGAAGAATGCCGCGTCTGACGTTGGTTCAACGTTAATTCGATGAGCAAAATCAACGTTGTTTCAATGTCATGAGAGACGTCGTTTCCACGTTGATTCAATGTCAGTTTGCTGTTTGGGACTTTAAATATACATGCATGTGTATATATATATATACAACATAATTATACAGAGTGTGTGCACCCACATATATTATGTAAACACAAACTTTTGTTTTGGATGTGATTAATCACGATTAATCATTTGACAGCCCTAAATTTTACCATTATGGCTAATAAATTTAAGAATAAATAATTAAATAAAATCTTACTGTATACTTTGTAATATTTGTATAAAAAAAGATATATTATGTGTCCAGTTTTTAAGATTTTTTTGTTTTATTTTATTTTTTAAAATCAAAACTCATTTTGTGCTGTCTACTCTGAAGCCATGCCTACAGGCTGCCCTAATCAGTCAGGTCTCCTTTGGAGAGAGATTGTTATTGATCTGTTTCTTTCAAAACAACAGTAGAACACAGATGTTCTAAGGTCTGTTGGATTAGAAGCTGTGGACACTGATGCAAACAAAAATGACATACTTTCTCACATATTTCATCTTGTTTCTGCTTAGCATTTCATATATATATATATATATACTGTATATATATATACACTCCTCAATTACATACAAAAGTGCCATCAGGCTGTTATTTTTATCCAAAAGTATTGCTATAAGTTTTAATTACTATTATGAAGTATTAATACATTACATTCATGTAATGTATCTGTGGAATTTAAATATATTTAAAGTTTTAAAATCCTAAGAAAATGTTTTTCTAATTTCAGCTTTAATCAGAAATATTTTTCTACTGAACATTTTGTGTGCAACTTTAGGGTACTTATGTGCACCATGCTTATCAATCGACTTTACTAATCCTCACTGTGGTGGGCTTGACATTCTCTAGCTTTGTGACCCAGTGGAGCAGATTGACGGTACAGTTCAATGATCTAACATCCAGTCATGGAGAGAGAAACTGGTTTAACTCAATTGGCAGCAGGCTGAGGCTCAGATTAAGCACTGCTGCTAAAGCCCCTGCAATGCTGTGGACTTCACATGTTTGGGATCATGAGTTGTATGATGCCCCGTCACATCATTTGGGTATTTAACTGGTCCTGGCTGCAATAACTCTTACATATGACTGTAACTCGTAGATGATTTGTAACTTGTATGAATGACTTTAATTTGGACACAAGAGAGTCAGTTATTATGTGTCACAAAAGAAATTCAGTCAAACAGGTTAAATCATCTATGGGTGAGTGACCGTCATGATAAAGTAAGAGCTTAATTATGGGAAGAAAAAAAAAAGACAATATGACTTTCTTTCTTTCCACAGGTTTGGAATGACACAAGGATGAGCAAATGATTACAGATGTTCAATTAATGTATATTTATATAAAGTAAAAACATAGCCTGATAAACTATTTATATGTACAATATACAGACATTATAACTCAAGTCATGCATATATGATACAACTTTGCACATTTTATTCAGATTCACTTCACTAGACCTTAAAAATAATTAACATTAAAGCAATCACTTTAAATTATAAAAATTGCAAACCTATTAATATTAAAAAAAAAAATCCTGTGTAATAATAAACACTTTATATAACTAATGGAACTGATGATAAACAGGAGCGAATTCCTGTTCAGATCCATGCTGATGGTAAGATGTTGTTGGGTGAGGTGTCATATAATGTGTCAACGCGTTCTCATCCCAAAGCGCCATATAGGACGCTTTTGCAAAAGCGTAAATATCCAACGCACATGGCACCCTTTAACGTCTAATGAGACGCTTCGGTTAATGGTTAAGTTTAGGTATGGTGTGGGGTAAGGGTTAGACCACTAGGGGGCGCCATCAGCCCAAATATATCTGCGTCTCATTTCACGTTAAAGGGTGCCATGTGCGTTGGATATTTACGCTTTTGCAAAAGCGTCCTATATGGCGCTTTGGGATGAGAACGGGCTCAATGTGTCTATACTTCATGGCAGGATGTGGTATGGTGGTTTGGCTAAAATCCTGTTGTTTGTTGGGACTGGGTACGTGAGAACACAGGGACGGCTTGTGTGGCTTGAAGACATTGATTTTCATCCTCTAATCCAATATCCACAAGGAAGTTGAGGATATGGATTTGTGCCCTCAATTGGTTCCTTGGATTAAACCTGTTAAGTTTCGCCACTAAACTGAGAGCAAAATAGTACATTTCATCCTCCTGTATTGGCACATGAGGTGGAGCTGTAGTTGATGGTTGAGAGATTATATCAAGTAGCTGTTGTTCTGTTGGACTTGGATATGCAACTCTTCTTCTTTTTTTTGTCTCTGTCGACCTTCATTTATTATTGCCTGCACTCTGGGATGGGCAGGGGTGTCAGCTATCTGTGTAGGTAATTGAGGGGTAGAGGTGGTTGGGGGTGGTGTGGGGGTTAAAGATAATTGATTTCCCAAGCCAGGAGTTGCAGGCCTTTGTATAACCGTAAAGGGACTGTATGGTCTGCTTAGCTGACATATCTCTTGATCCACATCCCCTTCAGCCAAACTCATATCCACTAGTTCATCCTCTAGCTGCAAAGTTGTTTTTGAACTAAAATAATAACAGGTGTTATTAATGTACATTTACAATGTAAAATAAATACATAAAATAACTTGTGTATTTAAAAAAAAAATCGGTATAACAGTATTCCAAAACAGTAATACAGATTTCTCTAGACATTTTTTCATAATTAAGTTCTTTTCTCAACATTACAAACATACTAACCTTCTTGCCTGCATATGTGGCAACAAGAAAGACATCACTTGTTCATATTTCCACTCCTTGACAGTACCACCAGCAGAACCACTAGGCATTTTCTTTTGTTTTTTACTCCTTCCAAAGGCATCTCTCAGTAGTCTCCATCTCCGTTTGCATTCATTCACTGGAAAAAACATGCATATATATATTTTAATACATTATTGTTAATTTTCTTCACAGATTCCTTGGCACAGGGGAGAATTTCAGCAGCCTAGCGTTCCAATAGGCTTGGGATAAGTACCGTGGCTGAATCTGTCCACGTGACATGCAGAGCTATTGAGAGGCAAATGATGGCGTCCCAGTTCCCAAAACCAACAGAGGAAATTTGGAGAAATATTGCCACCAAATTTTGGGAGAAGTGGAACTTTCCAAATTGCATAGGTGCAATTGATGGAAAACATGTCACCGTAGTGTCACCAGCAAATTCTGGGAGCTTGTATTTTAATCACAAGGGGACATTCTCTGTTGTTCTCTTAGCGCTGGCTGATGCGGAATACAGATTCACTTTTCTACAAGTGGGTGACTTTGGTAGAACAAGTGATGGAGGTGTATATAGTGGTTCTGCACTTGGAAGAGCAATGGAGGCCAAAAAGTTGTCTGTGCCTGCAGACTGCGCTTTACCGGGGTCTGGGGCACAAGGCCTGATGCCATACACCATGGTGGTAGATGGTGTATTTCCCCTAAAGACACATCTGATAAGACCATTTCCAGGGAAACAAATTCCAAAATGGCACAGAATCTTCAATTACAGATTGTCTCGTGCACGTATGGTTATTGAGTGTGCCTTTGGCATTCTGTCATCCAGATGGAGAGTACTCCACACAAAGATGAACGTGAATCCGTCAAATGCTGATTCTGTGGTCACTGCAGCCTGCATCCTACACAACTACCTCTTGAATCCTTCAGAGAACCAATGTGGCTGGAGGAGTCAGAAGAAAGAGGGGAAGTGCTTCCAGATGTCAGAAATATGGGGGGCAACAGGGGATGCAGGGAAGCCTACAACGTACGTATGATGTAAGATCTGTCTTAACCTTCTACAAGGACCAGAAAAAACACACATTTTTAATGGTACCGAACTTTTTAAATTGTAAATAGTTTTTCATTTGTTGTGGAAAAAAATCTGATGTTAAATTGATAAAGTAATGATGCAAATAAAGAGAATTTTAACAGTACTGGTCTACTTTTTTTTAAATGCAAGAACAAACATGTTTAATTCATCATTATATATATATATATATATTGAGCTACATTATTTATACTAATAATTGATATACATGTCATTGTTAGTACATATCCCTTTTCTACAATACCAAAACAGGTATTTTACCTCTGCTATTTAAAAGGCTGGGTGTTGCCACAAAAGTTTGTACATTTTGAAATTATAACTATATAGTTATTATAACAAACTTACATTACACTATGTTTATTTAATGTATATCTAAAATAAGAAAACTATATAGGCTTATAAGATTTATTTAGGAAAGCAAGCTACAAATACATATTCAGGTGTTCATGCATGTATTAATACTTTCTATGTATATTTAAATGTTCAGAACAGAACGGTTAATTTAATAAATTAGCATGACATCAAGGTGAAAGATGATCAACACATAAAAAGGACAACACAGAATACATTGAAGTTTAGGTAAAAAAAATAGTAATATTTATTAATTCCCTCATTTTAAAGACTTTATGAGATATATTTAAAATTATTCTATATGTGTCGGCTTGGCCCGGTCATACTGGAAGTACCTATGGTTTATTGCAGTTCTAAAAGGCACCACAAATGCCTGTTAGTTTCAGTTTATTTATAAAGCACATTTAAAAACGGCCCCTGGCCGACCAAAGTGCTGTACACATAGAGGTAAATACTATTTAACTAATTTACAGCAGTTCAGAGCAGAATACTCATTCCAGACTAAAAGCGACAGAAAATAAATAGGTTTTAAGACAAGACTTGAACTCAGACAGAGAGGAAGTTGTTCTAATATAAAGTGGGAGATTTTTCTAGAGTGTGGGACCAGCCACTTCAAAGGCATGGTCTCCCCTTGATTTTAGCCTTGTTTTTGGTATCTGAAGAAGAGGTTTAGTTTCAGATCTAAGATGTCTCGTAGAGGAGTGGTAATGAAGTAAATCAGATAAATAAGCAGTAAATCATTCAAGGATTTATACACCAGGATTAAAATTGTATACTCAATTTTAAAATTTATCGGTAACCAGTGAAGTGATCTTAGCAGGGGGTGACATGATCAAATTTCCTTTTTCCCATAAGGAATCTCGCTGCAGCATTATGAACATTCTGTAGGCGGGCCGTTTGGGACTTTGATGCGCCGAAATACAGAAGTTTACAATTAGTCCAGGCGCGAGTTGGAGCATCGATAGCCAACTTCAGCGATCGTTTAGGGAGATATGATTTAATTTCCGCTATAGAACGAAGATAAAAGAAACTAGATCTGATGACAGCACTAATTTGTTTATCGAATTTAAGGGAGCTATCTAAAATAACACCTAAGTTACGTACCTGGGGAGCAATAGATCGATCTAAAGATCCCAGGTCAAAATCATAGGTTTGCCTAGTTTCTGAGGGGTTAAGTTTAAACATTATTTCCTTTACGTAATGTAAGGAGACAGGGTTGAATGAGGTCCATCGGGTAGACAAACTCCTCTCTTTAGATATTTCCTGTCCGGAGGCTTGAAATTGAGCTCTCAGGTTAGAGACTTTATTGCCAAAGAATTTAACTAGATCCTCACAGAGTGTCAAAGATGAGCAGCGAATAGGGGTATGGTTTTAAAATTGAGTTAATAATAGAAAAAAAAGTGCCTTAGGGGTGTGGTGACGATTCTCAATCAATGTATTAAAATAAGAAGCTTTCGCTTTCTTAACCGCATTCTGATATAATGATAGACAGTCTCTTAAGATTTCATACGAGACCTGTAATTTATATTTTTTCCACTTCCTTTCTGCTTTTCTGCATGACTGTCTCAAGGAGCGTAAACTATGATCAACCCAGGGCTCAGATTTGGTTTTAGTCTTAGATTTAAAAATCTTGAGGGGAGCAGTAAGATTTAATATATATTCCCAAGCCGTGTTTATAAGGGAGAAATGCTGCTCCACATCAAGGTCAGGGAGTGGAGATTCTAAGGATAGAATAGGTTTACTCTCATTATACAGCTTAGTAAAGTCCATTTCAAAATGTGGTAAGTATGCACGCGCTTGTGTGGTGTTTGAAACAGGTGTGATAGTAAGCAGAGGAAGAGACATTTAAAATAGGAAAATGATCAGATATTGCAGAATCAATAACCTCAACTTCAGATACAGATAACTCATATAATAGAATTTGATCCAACATACATGGATATGTGTGTGATTATTAACCCACTGCCGAAGGTTAAAGAGGGGGTTGACTGCTTTTTTTTTTCTTTGCATGATTGTGTTTATGGGGTGCAATATAACATGTATTCGTGGTTTTTCATTTTTAAAAAGTCTTATTTTTCATAAACTTCACGTTTATTGTCAGCCGTGCTCTCCTCTGTCCTCGAACGAGCGGTTGACTACCTGAGTCTATGAAACCACTCCCTCAGAAACACGTCGTGGGCTCAGATTGGTTAGCTTGGCCCGGTATGTTGTGATTGGCTGAACTGTCGCTTACGTTGTCCGGAAGGTTAATGCCCATTACCTTTACGGGCGAAATGGGAACGTCATGAGCTCATGAACGTCATTAAAAAAATAAATAAATAAATACTCAAACAGCGGTGGCAAGTTTACATTCTTGATCAAATCGAAAATAACGTCATAAAACATATATACATGAAAAATACATTAGTACAACATTAGCACTTATACAAAATTCATGTTTATACGCGTTTGTCGTATACACAAAATAGCATAAGTGATAGCCTAGTGGCAATAAAGCCAGTGCTGGCATTTGAAAAAAACTAAAACACAATGGCTACGTCTGGAATTATAAATGCAAATACATTTAAAATGGTTAAGTCTTAGCTAGGGGTGGCACGGTTCACGAAACCGACGGTTCGGTTTGTATCACGGTTTTAGTGTCACGGTTTTCGGTTCTGTACGGTTCTTGTTATTTTTTTTCTTTTAATCTTTAACACTCCAGAAATGTACTTCAGCATGTGATATATAGCTTAATTATCCACACTTTAGGATACAGTATAAAAAAAATTATATTCATGCAATCATGCACAAACTGAATTTGACTTTAAGCACATTTTGGGACTATCTCAGAGGAAAGCTAGGTGAGATTTTGATACAGCAAGAGAGAAGACATTGACATGCTTTTCATTTATTTTGAAAAAAAAGGAGAATGTGTATCACTATCTCTACAAGAACTTGAGCATTTTTATCACACAAATCTTATTTACACAAAGAAATTAACTTGCATTTATCAACTGACAACTTTTGTAGCTCTTACAAAAATTCTATCTTTTAAAAGAAAAAAAGAGGAACTACACTGTCTTTTATGAATAAGTTAATATACATGAATACCTCATTGCCTATAATTAGGCTATAGCAATAGCAAAGGCCATAAACATAAAGTGAAACAAGTTCAACCTCAGCACAAAAAACAGTATCAACAATGCTTCTATTCCCAAAAAGTGAGGGTACCTTTTTTCACTTGAAATTAAAGTGCAGGATTTCGAAACATATGACTGGAGCTCTTATCTAAACATAAAGTGCCACTGTAGCGTTATATTAAAATATCATAACATGAAATCCAAAATGTTCCCACACACCAGACTTATACCATAGACTTATAGGACGCTCGCGCTTCCTCCAACTCCCTCATCTCTCCCACTTGCCATTTCTCCGCGTGCCGTGACCTGCAGCGCTCCATACTCCACTTTTACTGGATTGTTTACTAACTTGAACCGGCATACAGAGCGATCGGTAATGACATCAAATACCGCGAAAGTGAGTGACGGAGCCGTCGTTCCCGCTCTAGTTTGATGTTATTCACCGGTCGCTCTGTGCAGCGCCGGTCCAAGTTGAACAAGCTTATGTCGTGCGAAAAGAAAACAAACGTGACATACGGGCACGAGGCTACATTGCGCATGCGTCGAACCGTGAGACGCACACGCTCCGAACCGAGACAAGCGAACCGAACGGTTCGGGTGTTTTTTCATGTACCGTGCCACCCCTAGTCTTAGCCTACTTACAGGTTGTGGCCCAACAACTGCTGCCTCTGGTTTTAAAGTTGGAACGGCTTCACGTTTTGGTAACAGTTTCTTGTTGAATACGGTGTTGAACTCGTAGAGATGCTGGAAGCTGTCTTCCGTTAAATGCGCTGCACAGAGAGCTAGATTACGATCGTCATTTTCAGGAACATAATCAAACATAAATTGTATCCATTGTTGACGAAGTACAGCGTCCGTGGGAAGTTCGAAGACATAAGACCTGACAGCTGCGTGAACAATACACTCGACGAGCTGGAGCTGCTGAAATATGGCCATGCCCTTTTCTGCATATTCCGGAGGGAGTGGTTGATGCAAATGTGTGGGTTAGTGACGTACCATAACCCAGCTGTAGTCCCAATCCAGTCATTTTTTTAGGCAATATACTTCCTGATTTTTAAAAGACGATATCTCTGCTTACACTGAACTTTCAGCGCTGCAACTTTGCAGATACTGTTCATGCACCAACAGCAACATTACACACTATTTAAAATGAAAAAAAAAGTGAAATCGCAGTCAACCCTCCCTTTAAAAGAGTCAGTGATGTTTAAAAACTCAGTAGTTAGCCGCTCAGAAGGGCAACATAAATGCACATTTAAGTCACCTAAAATAAGGATAGAATCATATTTGGTGACCAAGCCACCTACAGATTCAGAGAACACTTGTCATTGCCATTCTGTTATGTATTAAGATGTATATTTGTATTCCTATTTTGTGTGCATGTTTTTTTTGGTACCGTTTTAAGTCTTTCTGTCCAGCTGAGTTAATCAGATACAGGAGATTACAGTAAAATGTATAATTGTATGTCCACCAGCTTTTTTGGGACAGTAACACTGTCAGAACCTGGTGTTTCTTACAGAAAATATTAACACTGATAACAACATTTACGACCTACTATAGGAATGTTTAGAGAAGTGTCGGCTTTCTCTGAATTCTTACTAACGAGGAGAAATTAATCCTGTAATCAT